CCTGGGCTCAAGCGAGTCTCCTGCCTCCGCCTCCCAAGTAGCTGGGACCACAGGCGCCTGCCACAACGCCCGGCTATTTTTTGGTTGCAGCCGTCAATGTTGTTTGGCAGGTCCAGGCTGGGGATTCAAACCTGCCACCTTAGGTGTACGTGGCTGGCGCCTTAGCCGGTTGAGCTATAGGCGCCGAGCCAGATCACTTGATTTTTTATGGACGTTCATTCATCCAGAAAAATTGCTAAAAGAACTTCCCTGTGTTGTGATATATGCTACTTCTGTTAGGCTTGTTTATTTTGTTCTGGGATCATCATTCACTCATGTAGCAAATGTCTGAGCACCTACTCTGCAATCATGCCCTGGGCCTGAACCTGGGGAAATAGGTGAGTAGGCCGGTCACAGATTCTGCCTTCCAGGGATTTGAAATCTAATGGTGGAGGCCACAGCTTGGCTATGGGACAGAGGCCAAATTGCAAGACTAAGACACATCCTTGGCCTCACAAGAGTCCCGGGCAGCAAAAGAGAAAAGGGGGAAAACTATGAAATCTATTCCCTGGGTTCATCTGAGCAAGTGCCAATTATAAAGCTGACTGGAAATAGAGTGTGATTGTGCCATGGAAATGAAATTAAGCGAAATATTCCATGATCTCATCAGCTTTGTCTTTAAAAGTAATAGGAAGAAAATGTTGTTCAATTAGTTTTGTATGTTATTTGAATACCATTTTCTAAATGCAGTCAACTCAAATGTCTGCTTTTATGTAATGACAGGAATCACAATTTGGGTAGTCCAAATAATCTGAATATCATATGTGTTCATACTTGTTTTTCAACCTGGATCTTCATGGTTCTGGGAATTCTTGGAACTCAGATTTTAAAAACAAAACCTTAAAAATCAGGCATGTCAGGCAATGGTGTGCCTTAGTCTGGGAGCCCTGGCACACCATCCAGCCTGCCTTACTCAGCTCAGCCCTTGTGTGGCTCCCTCCCAGGCCCCAGTGTGAGCTGGGAACAGACACTATTGACTCCTTTAACCACCATACCACATAGAGCCAGCCAGTGGTTTTAGTTTTTATTGTGATAAAATGCACATAACATAAAAGTTACCATTTGAACCATTTTAAAGTATACAGTTTAGTACTTTCACAGCATTGTTACAACTATTACCAGTCTCTAATTCCAAACTGTTTTTATCATCTCAAAAGTGAACCCTGAACCCATTAAGTTGTCCCTCCCTATTTCCCTCGGCTCTCCAGCCCCTGGCAAACTCCAGTTTACATTCTGTCTGTGTGAGTTTTCCTATTCTAGATAGATCATGTAAGTGGAATCATTTAATTTGTGGCCTTTGGTGTCTGGCTGCTTTTATTCAGCATATGGTTTTCAGGGTTCATCAATGCCATGGCATATACTGATATTTCACTCCATTCATGACTGAATAATATTCCACTGTATGGATATACCACATTTTCTTTATCAGGTAAACAGACATTTGGGTTTTCTTCACCTTTTGGATATTGTGAATAGTGCTGCTGTGTATGTTCATGTTCAAGTTTGTTGTTTGAACACTGGTTTTCAGTTCTTTTGGGTACCTGCTAATGAGTGTAACTGCAAGGTCCTATAATAACTCAATGTTAGGTTTTTGAGAAACTGCCAAATTGTTTTCCACAGTGGCTGCACTGTTTTCCATTCCCCCTGGCAAAGTTTGAGAGTCCAAATCTGTCCACATTCTTGTCAGCACTTTTTCTTTTGTTCGTAATGGCCATCCTAGTGGGTGTGAGATAGTATCTCCTTGTGGTTTTGATTTGCAGATAACTATCACTAATAACATTGAGCATCTTTCTATGTGCTTGTTGTCCAGTTGTATGTCGTCTTTACAGAAATGTCAATTCAAGTCCTTTGCCTGTTATTAGATTGGATTGTTTGGGTTTTTTATTTCTGAGTTGTAAGAGTTCTTTATATATTCTGGACAGTAAACCCTTATCAAGTATATGACTTGCAAACATTTTACCCCCTTCTGTAAGTTTTCTTTTTTACTTTCTTGGTGATGTCCTTTTCTTTTTCTTTTTTTTTGGAGACAGAGTTTCACTCTGTAGCCCTGGGTAGAGTGCTATGGTGTTATGGCTCACAGAAACCTCAAACTCTTGGGCTCAAGTGATCCTCTTGCCTCAGCCTCCTGAGTAGCTAGGACTACAGGTACCCAGCACAGTGCCTGCCTAGTCTTAGTTGAGAGTCCCATTTTTAGTTGAGACAGAGTCTCATTCTCAAGCTGGTCTCAAATTTCTGAGTTTAAGCAATTCACCCTCCTCAGTCACCCAGAGCTCTAGGATTATAGCCATGAGCCACTGTCCCTGTCCATGATAGCCTTTTCTGCACAAAAGTTTATCTTATGAGATTTACCTTTTTTTTTTTTTTTTTTGCTTTTACATTTAGGTCTATGATCATTTTTGTTTTAATTTTTGTATATGGGCTCAGCGCCTGTGGCTCAAGCGGCTAAGGCGCCAGCCACATACACCTAAGGTGGCAGGTTCGAATCCCCAGCCTGGGCCCGCCAAACAACAATGATGGCTGCAACCAAAAAATGGCCAGGCGTTGTGGCAGGTGCCTGTAGTCCCAGCTACTTGGGAGGCTGAGGCAGGAGACTCACTTGAGCCCAGGAGTTGGAGGTTGCTATGAGCGTGATGCCATGGCACTCTACTCAGGGGGATAGCTTGAGGCTCCATCTCAAAAAAAAAATAAAAATAAAATTTTTTGTATATGGTTTAAGTGTCCAACTCAATTCTTTTGGATGTAACTTTCCAGTTGTCCCAGCACCATGTGATGGTCTAGGCATCCTTGTCAAAAACCAGTGGACCATATATGTATGGCTTTTCTTCTGGACTTTCTATTCCATTGATTATGTGTCTGTCCTTTTGGATTTTTGTTTTTTGTTTTTTTTGAGACACAGTCTCATTATGTCACCCTCAGTAAAGTGCCATGGCGTCACAGCTCACAGCAACCTCAAACTCTTGGGCTTAAGCAATTCTTTTTGCCTCAGCCTCCCAAGTAGCTGGGACTACAGACGCCCACCACAATGCCCAGCTATT